GAGAAGTGGGAGTTATAGAAGGACATCGAAATTGGAAGTTTTAGGAGACAGAAAAGCACGCAAACTTACTGGAACCAAAAAGTGTGGATGCCCTTTTTTATTGAAAGGACAAAAGTTGACCACAGATGATGATTGGATTGTAAAAGTAGTATGTGGGGTACACAATCACCTAGCAATTAAAAATATGGAAGGACATTCATTTGCAGGGAGGTTATCACAAGAAGAGAATGAGATTTTGATGAACTTGTCTAGATCATCAGTCCGTCCTAAAGATATATTGAATACGTTGAAGAGTCGAGATGCTCGAAATGCTAGCACAATGAAGACTATATATAACGCTCGTCATCGGCAAAAGAGAGTTGAGAAGGAACGGAAACCAGATATGCAACAACTTTTTGGTGAGTTAGCTACATAAACTAAATTGAGCATCAGAAATTTATGCATTGGTTGTGAGGAGTGGTAGACAAGCCGTGCCTCTGAAATGAGGGCCCCATAAATCTCAAGTTGATTTAGGCTCACAAGCTTTGGCAAAACTTGTAGGTGTGGTTTAGTTGACTAAACACTAGTGAAAGTATTTACATTTTTATTGATACTATCTTATTATCTAAAATATTTGATATACGTATTAATAAGAATAAGTGAAAGGTTACAGGGTCCTGGTCAGACCATAGGCTTCGTACAATCTGACAAGAGGCACCCTCTTTCACAATCTTGGTTTTGGTTAGGCACTATTTTGGAGCTAAGTCAGCCCATTTTTCCATGCTTTTTAAAAATAGGAAACAAAACATTTCATTGATTCAATAAGTTCCAAAAGGGATGAAAACCATAACCCAGCCCGTGCTTCCATGCTTTAATGGAAATTTGGACAGGACAGCAAGATATATAGGAGATATATCTTGAATCCTCCTTTTGCTGGTATTGGAAGACTTTTCTCGTCATGCTGGGTTTTTATTTATTTCGTGGAAATTTGGTTAGAGAAGCAAGAGGATTTCTTAGGAGATTCATGTGGGTTATTTCCCTTTTCTGATTATTGATAACTAGGTCTTTTGCTTTGCGCCCCCCACCTACCCTTTTTTCTTTACAATTTCCATTAATATTCTGTTAGGTTGCCCTTTTGTTAATTTTGATAGTTTGTAGTTAGCGATTAGTTAGATAAGGAAACCTGTTAGCAGGTCTTTGTAATCTCATTTCTGAAAGTGTTGACAAATGAGATCTTAAGCTGCACTACTCTTGTCTTGGCCCCTTTTTTGTGTGGACTTCATCGCATAGGGCTAAATTTAATTAAATGGTTTGATTGGCAGCCTTTTCGTGAATTTATTTGGTAAGACTTAGTCCCGATAACCCAAGATGCAAGTTTCAACATGCTAATTGAAAGCATTCCATTTGGAAGTTGAAACTCTTTACTTTCTTACCTTATTTCCTTACTCGTCCTTACTTTATATCTATTCGTTTGTAAATTCATTTTATTTAATCTTCGAAACACTTGAGAAGTACTATATGAGATTTTAGGAACTATATTGTGTGTGCGTCTGACTGCTGAGGTAAGGAAATTGGTTAGAGAAAGCTGATAGGATGCTGACTCATAGATGGAATCATTAAAATTTATAGAAATTTAGTTTATATCTTTTCTAGAAGTAAGAAATCACTTCCAGAAATGTTTAGATAAAGTATGGCCTTGTCTCTGTGAGCCAGTAGCTATAACCAATTCAAATGGTCAAATTCCTAATGGATAGTTTGTCTTGGTGGTGTAGGTGGAGAGAATTCTATTGCAACATCCGGGAGTTAAAGGCTGTGTTGTGGTGGGCGTTCCTGATTCTCGTTTGACAGAGAAGGTTGTAGCTTGTGTTCAATTAAAAGAGGACTGGCAGTGGTATGATGCCTATCATGAAAAGATTGAGCAGCAGCATTTATCTAGTGCAATTCTTCGTATCCATTGCAAGGAACTGAACTTAACTGGGTAATTGCTCTGTTTGATATGTTTTTGGCTTCAGAAACGGCAGTTCCCTTGAACTACACCATAAATTTTCCTTTTTTATGAAGGTTCAAAGTACCAAAAGAGTTCATCATGTGGAGGAAGCCATTTCCAGTCACTTCAACAGGAAAACTGAAAAGAGACGCAGTTCGAAATGAGGTAAGATCTCAGTTTCTATTACTGCGTAGCAATCTTTGAAATGCAGCTCGTGAAGCTGCAAATGATAATTCGAGGAAGAACTCCTTCTGAGTATAGTTTGTTTGTTTTTATTGTTAAATTCATGTTCTTGTCATTTAGTTAATCTTAATGTTGATCATTTTTAGATTCTTTCCAAAGGGAATTCCATTAGGAAAGTTGAAATACTTTTGTCCATTCATCTAATAAAGTGTATTATTATTCTTTTACATGTTGCCATTTACAATATTTTTGTAGTTGCAACTAAACATTAAAACATTAAAACTATTTATTAATATCAAAATGTCAAAATTATTAAATACATTAAATAATAAAAATACATCATCTTTTGGTGATAAAATATAAATTTTGTGGTTGGGTAGCTTTTTTGAAATCATTTGGTGTCCTTATCTAAAGTTTTTTATGGCTATTCTCTTAAAAATATTTGTAACAATTAGAGGCCTTTTTCATAGGGTCGATATGTAACTATCCCTCTTTCTATTCTTTTTATTTTTCATTTTAATATTGTTAACCTACACTTTGTATACTTGGAATATTTGTACTCTTTTTTAACTTTTTCATATTAATGAAAACCTCTATTTCTTGTTAAGAAAAAAAAAAGAAAAATAAATTCTTGAGTGATATCTTAAATAAATAAACAAATATAATTTTAGCATTGAATTTTTCCATTCAGTCTTAGACTTTCAAATATCTTATTTTCATAGATTAAATTTTGTTTTAATGGGTAGAAATTCGATCTCACGACTTTTTGGTCGGAGATTGGTTGATAAAATCTAATTTTGTTATTCAAATCAAATTATGACTTCATGTAAATTAATATAGTTTATTATATATCAAATTTGGTATTAGATTTAGAAATGAGTGGTTGTTAAATGCCACTTGAAAATTTAAGGATAATGATGGAGGATATAAATAAAATATTCTTGCACTCAAAGAAAAAACTAAAATATTATTTAGATAAATAATAACTAAAAATAAATATATATATATTGTTAATACTTGAAAATTTTCGCATCATATTTTCTTAATTCAGATATTTGATTAAGAAAAGTATAATATTTGTAAGGACACAATTGAAGGTTTCAAAAACACAACAATGAGCCACTCCAACTCAAAATCGCCCGACATTAAAATATCTCAATGATTTCGACATTTCATTTTAACAAACAAGCATTTTTAATCTTCAATTCAATTCAACAACGTTGAACATTTTTTCCCTTCAAGAAAATAAGAAACAAAAAGTCACATGAAACATATTTCATTAACTTCTTTTGTTAAACTAAAAGTTTAATCTTTGAACTTTTAAAATTGTGTTTAATAAATTCTTGAACTATAGAAAGTATGTCATTAGTATAAACTTTCAATTTTGTATCTAATAATTGATTGATTATAAATGTTTGATTGGTGCTTGATGATCTCGTCTATTGGACATTTATTTAAAAATTTATAGACCTAATACAAAGTTGACATAAAGTTACAAGTTAAATAATATAATAATAAACATAAAAATGAAAGTTTAAAGGACCTATTAGATACTTTTATTTTCTATTGATAACTTACTATCTTGATCCCTAAATTTGTAATTTAGTCTTTATTTTATATAGTAAAATTTCTTTTAAAAAATAGAGATGTCTACGGGGATAATATAAAATAAATATGTATTTTCAAATGTAGCATGAGAAAGTTCAAAAGTCACTATATAACTTTATGAAATCATGTACAAACTTACGAATAATAAAAAATAAATTAAAAACATCGTGAACTCGAATCCTCGATCTCAAGAAAAAAATAATAATAATAACCCTCTCTTTCTAAAAGACGATCAAACTAAAATTCTTTCACTATTTCTCTTGAACATATAACAAACAAACAGTGAGTAGGGAAGGATTTAGTTTTGGCATTTAGACCTTTTGTCATATCTTTTTTTATCTTCACTTTTAACATTTTTAACTTCTATTTTTGTGTTTCGACTCTTTCTGCAATTCGTCGACGTTAGTTTAGTTCAATTATAATTGACACTTATTTTATATTTAAATTTGTGGTATTTTAGTTGAGAATTTATGAGTTGTGATCAGATTGACAAACTCTTTTTAAATTGAAGACCTTCATTTATGTGATTACAAAATATGACCGGACAACATTAAAATCTCTGAATTATTAAAAGTAATGTCTTGGAGGTGAGTTGTTTTTTTTTTAATTTAAAAATTAGGTGGATACGAGAGTTATTTAAGCCTCTAAATTTTAAATTTTATATTGTCTCTATCATTAATACAAATATGGAAGATAGGACTAACCAACCTCAATGAAGGTAATTGATGCATTATTCGTTGAGTTATCCTCGGGTCGACAATATGACATGTCGTGAGTTCGAATTATCAACCCTACATGTCGTTAGTATTAAAAAAAAAAAAAACTAGTTAAGACATTTAACCTCAACTAAAAAATTTGAGATTTCGAATTTCATCCAACGATTCTGTTTGGGGAAGGAATACCCTTTCGCCACGTGGAGAACGGGGATTCGCCGTTAACAGAAAAATTAGAGGAATAAGCTTACGGAGCTCCATCTCGAAAGATTCGAGATGGGACATTCACCACTTCCTATTGAGGAATTCTCTCGATATTTTCAAGAATGTGTCCGAGGTCGATCTGCTTGAATACGACACATCCTACCTCAAGTCCGACCAAGATAACCGTCTGTCGTAACCTAAATCTATAAATAGAGGGTCTCATTTTACTATCATACCATTCATTTTTTATCACATTGCTCACTACAATCTATTCAATAAACATATCACATTATCAATGTGGAGGAGAAACTACAATATGTACACAATTTAAAGTTGAACCACCCATTGATGGTTTAAATTGCAATTGAAAAGGGATGTTTGACAGTACATTACTTATTTGTACCACAGTCAACAGATATTTATTTTTGGACACACAAACACACCCTAACATATTTGAAACCATTAGTTTACATTCAACAACAACCAACAAATTACACCTTTCTTTCTCTATTACATTACCCGAAATTTATTTTTGAAAAATACTTACTTATACGTCGATCAATCAATAAGATTTTTTTCTTATTTTTCTCACTGATTTTTTGATGTGACGTATTTTTATTGGTATAAAAACATACCAATAAAAATGGAGGTAAGTATTTTTCTTTCTTTTTCTTTTTTGTTTTGTTTTTAATTTTTGGTGTTCTTCTTGGCCTTGGCCTTCTGTGCTCTGTCAACTAACCAGTCCAAGATGGTGCCACAGACAAGGTCCACGCTCTCCTTGGGCTCGCCGATCAACTGGTGCCACATCCCCGGAAAAACCTTCAGCGTCTTGTCCTCGCTCGCCGCCGAT